AAGAGACCATGTAGGCTACGTCTACACTAGGAGCTTGGGGTGCAGGGCTGGCTCCAGGCACCAGCGTAGGAAGCAGGTGCTTGGGGTGGCCAATTCAAAGGGGCGGCACTCTGTCTGGTATCGGAGCGGCACGTCCGGGTCTTCGGTGGGAATTTAGCGGCGGGTCCCTCATTCCCTCTCTTCCTCTTTGAGCTGCCGCTGAATTGCCGCCGAAGAGGAAGAGAGGGACGACCCGCCACCGAACGGCAGCAGAAGAAGTGACGTGATTGAGCAGCCGCCGAAGTGCAGCCGCTTGTCTTTTTTTTTTTTGCCGCTTGGGGCGGCAGAAAAGCTGGAGCCAGCCCTGTTGGGGTGTGATTCCCCTGCTCATGTACACATACTCAAATGGTATAAATAGTAGCATAGCTGCAGTAGTATTGGTAGCAGCAGCGGGGACACAGATTAGTCATGTACCCACCGGTTTCAAGTAGATTTGTCCTAGGCATGGAAAATCAGTGCCTTTGCTGCTGCTACCATGGCTACACTGCTATTCATGCTCATGCTAGCTCACTGAGAGCTAGCACGTGTGTGTGTACATGAGGGGGGAATCACACCCCAAACTCCTAGTGTAGACATTACGCTGGTCTGACCGCCTGTACTACACAGGCAATAGAACTTCCCCCAAATAATTCCTGTTCGAACTAGAGCACATCTTTTAGAAAAACATCCAATCTTGATTTAAGGATGAAGCTGGAAACTCCGATGGAAGGCAGCTTGTTTGTTTTGCTGCTGTTTCCCCCTAATAAGTGCCTGTTGTTTACCCAGATGGTGGATTCATCCATTCTGACACTGACACTGAATGTGGTCTTGGGCTAATCCCTTCACCGCTCCATGCCTCAGTTTCCCTATCTGTAAGATGGGGGCAAAAATCCCTTTCTAAAGTTCTCTGAGATAATAAGTGTCATGAAAGTGTTAAGTATACTGAGGATTAGCACACAGCCCCTGCTTCCTATCTTGAATGAGTCACCCCAGAGTCGCAGAGAGAGTTCAGAGATTTTTGAAAATGAGCATGCCCCTGGTCAGAAAATAGCTATTGCAAGGACATTTTGGTGACCAATGTTGTCTGTTGCAGCAGAGCACATGGGAAGCATTTCTGCTGGGAGCTCCTGCTGTTATAGCACGGAGCCATAAGACACAGCCACTGGTGAGGAGCATATCATCACCTGCCTGGTGATACCCTGCAGCTCTGAAGTTGTCCTCTGCTGTTCACCTCCTGCCCAAGGACAGGAAGAAAGAGACACTTCCAAGGTGAAATGCATTAGAGAAGGCAAAGCGTTATTATTCAATGACATTGATGCTCACAGGACAGGGCAAGAGATGGGAAAGAGCAGCCAGGGACCAATGATCTTAAGACTGTTAAATTAATACTGGTGGATTTTCAAAGAGCAATATTAAAACATAAACCAACCTTTAATTAATGTGAGTTAGGAAGAAACTTTCCCTATGGGCAGGTTATAAATAAATGCCTTTTACAGGGATGTTTGCACCTTCCTATGAAGCATCTGGGACAGAAACAGGATTCTGGGCTAGATGGACCAATGGTCTGAGCTCGTCTGCCAATTCTTTTAAAAAAAGCAAAGAACTGTCTCCTTCATCCAAGACCACTGGAGGAAGGGAAGAGGAAACATTTAGCATGAAGGGCAACTCCTTGTACAGCTGTTAAATAAATACCATGGCCAGAGATAGGATAGTGCTACAGATATTTGTTTGAATTTGGAAACAAAAATTCACCTTGTGCTTGTGCCCCTTTTGTAGGTGCATTTTGCAAATATTCCAGCCAACAAATTCACTGGCAGGAATATTCCCTGAAACAGATAATGCTACACAAACACTGCAGAATGTTTCCCTTTGGTATCTGTAATCAGGGTATCCACAAAGGGAAAACCCGATTTTAAGAGTTATACTCATCCAGAAGGGGAACAGAAACAAAACTATGTGACGAATCAAAAGAGCACAGCTACTGAATACTCCAACAAACTGCTCCAAAGGAGGTGCTGACCCAAATTATTTGACAAACAATTTAGAGTCATAAATAAATCTAAGGACATTGCAGTCAGTTCTTGGGTAGTCCATGAACAAGAAAAGGCGATTTTATGTACTGTATACTGGGCAATAACATGAGAAGGCTCCTGATTTCTAAAACTAACCTGACTCTTTCTTAAGAGACCTATTTACAGAGATGCTGCAGCTGCAGCTAGCATGCCAACCATGTGCACACAAACTGACTTCCTTCTCCAAACTCTTCCCTTCTGCCCCCCGTGCTCCCCTCTCCAAGTTCCTTCCAGATTGCTGCAAGTGACATTTTCCAGGTAAATTGTTTGATACCACGGAGTCACAGATTTTTAACAACCATTTGAGAGCTCTTTAAAGAGTTGTGCCAGTGCCCTTGTCCTTGGCACTGTTGTCTTGTCTTTCTGGTGCTGACCTCAGATTCTAAGCAGCCAGTTCTCTGGACTTTGGAGGAGGGAATCCTTTGCTTTGGGCTTATCAAAGTTCTGCAGCTGAAGTAACAGCCGATGTTGTAACCCTTTCAGACTGCCAGGCACAACAACAATGTGTTGAAGATTTTCCACCACTTGTGAAAGTGCTGTGTGTCCTGAGTGCCCCCCAAAAGTCAATTCAATGCCTCAGGCAAATTACTGATTTCTCAGCAGGGGAGGATGAGGAGAGCAGCTGTGGATGGATAGAGGCAGCTAGAATTGCATACAGAGTGGTAGAAACTATGGGGCTTTACCGTTGCCAGGGAGAACCAGCCCACTCGCTCTCCCTGAGTGAATTTTCATGCAAGGGATCATTTCATGAGCATTTGTGAGGTTGGTGCAGGGTGCACATTTCCCCTGGAAAATGCCTCTTTGTGTGGCAGGCAGCCGCCTGGCACCATTGCATTCAATGCAAAATCAACACTAAACAAACATTTGCTGAGATGGAGATTTTATGTATTTAATATCTCTATTCATGGTTTAAACAGGGAAAATGGCTTTTTATCTTTCTGAGAAACTAGAGGTGTAAGCTAGAAATCTGGCAAATACACGAAACCCTGATTTGTGGAGAGACGTTGTCTGTGTTTGGGTTGTTTTTGCCAGTTTCACTGGCAGTGAAAACTCTGTGGACCCTGCTCCATGGCACAATTCCCCACCAGGTCTTGCTGCAGAATTCCAGTGGACCTTTGTTGTGGCTTATTCCTCCTTTTAAAGTATGTGTGGTGGTGGGGAAAGACATCCCAGCTCTGAGAATGAGACTTTACTGGTTAATTAATGAGTCATTTTCTCATTGAAGGGAGAGAGAGAGAGGAGAGAGAGAGAGACACACACACACACACACACACACACACACACACACACACACACACACACACACACACACACACACACACACGAGTTCCTAGTAATTCTGGCAATGCAAAGAACCAACCCATTGTTAATGGACAATAGGAGCCTCTGAGCTACAGCACCAGCAGCAAAGAAAGATGAGATCCCACCCGGACTGGAGTCACAGTGGCTCTGGGACCCAGGCAACAGGGAATCCGGGACAAGCTACATGATGACTGTGTCTCAGCGGCTGCTTGGGGCTCGGGTCTCATGTCTGGGGGCAATGCTGGGCTTCCTTTGCTTCTCAACGGTGCTGAAGGCAGCCCCTGAGTTCTCAGGTGAGTTTGTGAGATGGCATAGTGGAGAGTGAGGGTAGGTTGGAGGGAGAAGAATCTTCTTAAGTCTTAGCCCTGTTACCACTACCACTTCTTAGCAGACAGCGAATGAAGATGGGGTGGGGTGGAGATGGGAGGATAATTTCCTCTAATTGTACATCCAAGAGATCAGATTCTCAGACCTATCCAGGGAGAGGTTCCCACCAGTGAAGATGAAGGTGTAGGGAAGGGTTATTTGTCGGAGGTGTGGGGGTGGCACAGTCTGTATTTAGTTCTGGTGAATCAGGGTATGAGTGACACAAACAAATACACCCTGTTTGAGTTCAAGCCGGCTGTGATTCACTGGCAAGACTATTCTCCGTCTGGCCCAGATCAGACCCCGAAGCAAACAATGCCTTCCCTGAGCTGTGGCCGTTCTGTGTTTGCTACAAATGGTCTAGGAGCAGGGCCCTGCCTGCCACTGATGCTGCAGGCCAAGTTAGAATGGCAAAGTCACAAAGCAGAAAATGAATTCTAGGAAGATCCCTTTAACCCCGGTGACATTTCCTCCCTGCCCCATGGAAGTTTGGGCATAGAACGAGTGAGCTGTGAGGCACAGAGACAAAGCCCAGCAGCCTTTAGAACCCATGTGTCATAGTGTGACAGGTACCTTGAAAAGGGAGTTGGGTCCAATGCACCTGTGACTGGCCAGTTGCATCCCAGTTGGGCTTAAGGGAAGGCACCTGGGGCTGTGGGGGAGGAAGACAGGAAGGGGCAGGAGAGAGCTTCCTCAGAACACAGACAGAAGGAGTAGAGACTAGCCCCAGAGAGAGAGTTGCAGGAAGCATGGATGAGGGCAGTAACTGTGGCTGCTGGGGTGAGTTCTGTGGAAAGCCATGGGGTGGACTTGCTAGAGCTGGAGAACCCTGCCAAGTTGTGGGAAAGTTAGTGCAGAGGCCCCTGAAAATGAGGGGAAGAATCAGCTTGGTCAGTGTGTGCTGGGCATAGGGATTCTGGAGGGAGGTTCCACTGAGCGAAGTGGGACACACAGGTGAGGAGCCCTGGGGCAGTGGAGCCCTGAGGGGGGCCCTCTTACAGGAGACCTAACTTGGGGCTACAGGAGAAGGCTGAGCCCCAAGTCTTCAAGGGAGAGAGCAAGGCTTCATGGCTTCAAGACTCATGAGAGAGCGGCAGATCTGGGAACTCTCAGGTGGAGGAGAGTGAGGCCCTGGGGCAAGGGAATGGATCTGGGACCGAGTGGTTAATGACTCGGGTGGACAATCTGGGAACAGAGACCTTTGTGTGGGATTGAAGAGCTGGCGCATTGTGAGTGGATTTTACTTTGCGGTTTTGTTTTACCATGAAGGATCCGCAGACTGTTGCCCTTTCTATGACTAAAAGGGTTTGCATTTGCCACAGAGGGAGAGAATATTCTTTTGCATGGGTGACACTCTGGGGAAACTGAGGCAGGCACAGCCTGACCCTGGAGGGCACCCCAGTGGGGGCAACCCAGTGATGCCATATGTATGTAGGACCCTCATCTGAGCAGTGTTTTGGTTCTGTGAAATGAACAGGACGAAATGAGGGGTCAGGTAGAGCACAGTCACAAATGGAGTCTCTGGCTGGAATGAGAGAGCTGGAATTTTTCATTGTGCAGGGGTTCAGATGGGCAGTGATTTGGATTCTAATGCCCGGATCTGAACCAGCACCCTTGCACTGCAGGTAGTCCTTGGGGGCTGTTTACAGCTGCTTCAAGGTCCTTTCATGGTGCTGGAGTAGCAGATAGGGGTTTCTTGGAGCAATGAAATGTCTGGCCCTAGAATTTATGAGCCCAGCTAAATGTACCACCTCTGGGCCCAGTGGTGCTGAGCACCCAAACTCCAGTGACTTCAGTGGAACCACATCTGTTTATGCAAGTAGAGAAACTGGCCCTACTATGTGACCATTACAGCATGTGACATTTCTCCAACTAAGCTCAGTCAAACCCCAGCTCAGCCTCTAGAGATTTGTGCCTAGCCAGAAAGAGCAAAATGTTTCCCCCCACCTTTGTCCAAAGACTCCTGGACCAAAAAGTGTTTGAGCGAAACCCAGCCACTTCCCATTTTGTGGTAAACTGAAACCTGCTGTGTATTTTTGGGTTTCACAGTAAACAGCCCTGAGCTAGTAGGATAATAAACTGAACCCCCTGCCTTTCATTAAACCTAAGCATCTTGTAGAAGCACTAATGCATATCAAGATGTTACTTAGAATAACAGATGGGGCTGCAGTAAGATCAAAGGAAATGACTTCATCAGGCAGGGTTATGGTAACTTCATAACCACGAGAAGAGGGACTGAGTCACTGGAACCTCGAGGCAGGAACAATTCCCTGCAAGCCCTGTTCCTTAAAACAAACGTATGGGCTGAAGTCTGTTTAATTCTAACACTCCTAAAACAATGTACCCCAATCCGCCCGCATCTGTGGAAACAGAGGCTGGATTCTGGTATTATGCAATATACCATGTACCCACGTTCTACCAGTGCCCTTACCAGCTTTGGCCTCATTTCAGATTTCATTTTAAAATAAAAGTTTTTAGTCCTAATGGTTGTAAAGAAAATTGCTGAACTATCAGGACAATCATTGCTGGGAGGTGCCAGCTACAAGAGAGAGTGGGAGTTGGGAGCACACTGCGGTATTGGATTATTTTTGAATGCTTGGCATCAGGCACCTGAAACTCCTAAAATCAGCTTAAAAATCATGAGATTAAAGAAAAGCCCAATACATTTTTATATATATTTGGATTATTAGATGCCTTTTGAGTTTTCAGCATTTAGGGTGCCCTCAGGTCATGTTTTCAAGCTTTTCTCCATGACCATCAGGGCTAGAAACTTACTTTAAAAAAAAAAAAAAGCTAAGAGTTTCATATAGTCACTTGACTCCAGGAATTGGAGTTTTAAGAAAGCCATCAAAAGTCATGAAGCTCATGATAAAATCATGAGAGTTGGCAACAATTAAGTTGCCATTGTAAGCTCAGTTGGCCATTCAATATACATAGGAGTTTAAAGAACAGGTCAGCACCATGTATGGCAGGCTATCAAGCAATGAAATCTCTCTTGTTTGGGCCACATTTGGAGGTGGTGTGGGCTGCCAAAAGTATGACACCCCCCCCCCCGCTTCCCCTGCCCTGGACCTGTGAGACCATTTGAACTACAGTTCCCAGAATGCTCCTGTTCTAAGGAACCTAGGAATTCCAGACTGGATCAAATATGTAGTTCATCTAGTCCAGTGTCATCTCCAACAGTGGCTGGTGCCAAATGCTTCAGAGCAGAGTGGATACAAATCAATGATTTAAAAAAAATGTAAAAAATGGACTTTTTTGATAAAATGCTTTTTGAGGAAAAAACCTATCTAAAGATAGTTTTAATTAAGATACATTATAGCTCAAAGAAATCTCATTATGGAATAGGGATTATACATTCTAATTCTATAGTATGAGAGACTATATTCATGTAATGTTTAAGAAAAATTTTGTAAATGAGTTCCAATAGTTCATGGATTAGGGACCCAATTTTATGGGGTTCCAGGGGCTTCTGTATAGATTATTTTGGTTAATCTTTCTATCTACCCAATGGGACTCATTGCTCAGTCTAGAAGATACCATCAGAGATGCTTAGTTTTGCAGTTCTCAAACTGTGGATTTGTGTCTCCAGAGATAACATGCTTGTTAACAGCAAAAAGACTTTTAAATAAATAATATATAGAGGTGAGAAATAACAGACCTCAACCCTATTGCCCCTTTGCAAATTTGTGTACACAGAGACAATCCCTTACCTCTCTCTAAAAGTGCAAATTTGCAAAAAGTTCAATGAATAGAAGATTGTTGGGGACGGAATAGATCTGGACAAGGAGAAGAAGTCTGGAGATAAAATGTGAGAA